TCCTCATCATCGACATCCGCATCATCAGCATCATCTTCATCATCATCAGCATCATCATCATCATCGTCATCATCTGGGCACCATCATCATCATTACCAACATCAGCATCAACATCAACATCATCATCATCATCATCATCATCATCATCATCATCATCACAATCATCACCATCACCATCGGGACGCCATCATCATCAACATCATCATCATCACCATCATAAGAATCATCATCATCGGGACGTCATAATCATCATCAACCCCATGATCATCAACATCATCACCATCGGGACACAATCATAATCAGCATCATCAACATCAACATCAACATACTCACCATCATCGGGACACCATCATCGTCATCATCATGATCATCAACATAATCATCATGATCATCATCTTTCTCATCATCGGGACACCATCAGCATCATCATCATCGTCATCATCATCATCAGCAGCATCATCATCATCATCGGGACACCATCATCCTCATATCATCATCAGCATCATCATCGTCATCATCATCAGCAGCATCATCAAAATCACCATCATCATCAGCATCAGCATCATCATCATCTCATCATCATCATCATCATCATCATCATCATCATCATCATCATCAACATCAACATCATCATCATCATCATCATCATCATCATCATCACCATCATCATCATCATCGCGGGACACCGCGGGACACCGGCGGGACACCGCCGGGCACCGCGGGACACCGCGGGACACCGCGGGACACCGGCGGGACACCGCGGGCCACTGGCCGCCCGGAAGGGAGACATTTGTTCCGGCCGCGCCTCAGCCACACGGGACACCAGCGGGACACCGGCGGGACACCGCGGGCCACTGGCCGCCCGGAAGGGAGACATTTGGTCCGGCCGCGCCTCAGCCACAGGAGACTTTCGCCCGCCCACGCAACTTCGCCTCGCCCGCACGGCACGCACGAACACGAAACCGAAATCGATTTCCCGGTAGGGGGGCTCTCCGTTCCACTTCGATCTCACCCCCCAACCTCCGATGTATGACAAGGTTTCCTGCCTCTCCCACTTCTTCACGGAGGCCCCGCCAGAGCGCGGAGGATATCGCAAATCAATACTGTTTACAAGGTTTCCTGCCCCTCCCGCCCCACCAGGGAAGCCCCTCCAGAGCGAGGAGGGTACACACCATATACATTTTACAACGTTTCCTGCCCCTCCCGTCCCTTCCAACCCTCCAAGGAGGCCCTGCCAGGGCGAGGAGAACATCGGAAGCTCATACTTGTTACCAAGTTTCGCGCCCCTCCCGCCGCTCCAGGGAGGCCCCGCCAAAGCGAGGATACGATCGAAATACTACACTATTTACTAAGTTTCCTGCCCCTCAAACCTTCCAGAGAAGCCCCGCCAGAGCGAGGATTGCATCGGAACGCAATACTAGTTGCAAGGTGTTCTGCCCCTCCCACCCCTCCAGGGAGGCTCCGCCAGAGCGATGAGGTAATCAAATTGGGAATACTGTGCTATTTACCAAGTTTCCTGTCCCTCCCACCCCATCCTCCAGGGAGGCCCCGCCCAAGCGAGGATGTCATCGGAAAGCAATGCATGTGCAAGGATTTCTGCCCCTCACGCCCCTCCAAAGAGGGGCCGCCAGAGCGAGGAGGGCATCGGAATTACATACGATGTATTACAAGGTTTCCTGCCCCGCCCCTTTACAACCATCCTCCCCTTCCATGCTGGCTCCCCTCCTCACCTTCGTCGGCCTTTCCATGACAATGTGTGAACGTCATGGGCCTCTCTTTTTTCTTGCTACTTCTGTGCCCCGCTGATTCTGCTAACCCCGTAGCCTCCTTATGTGGGGCATTCTGGTCGCATATTTTTCGTGGGCGTTCCTCGAACAGGAAGCAAATTGCCCTTGGAGGGGACAGTCTGTATGTATTGGAATTTGGGGCAAGCAAGATGAAACGCCTCCTCCCTCCTCCCTCCCCCTTCCATCTCTCCTCCGTGCTTCTTCCTCCTCCCTCTTCTGCTCTTCCTCCTCCTTCCTCCCTCCTCCACGTGCCGGATTACTAGTGGCGTTGACTGCATCGTAATCTACCGCTTTTAAACGCCCCTCTCTCGGAACCGTTTGGGTGCGCTCGTCTCTGCATTCTGCATGTCTGTCTGTCTGCCTGTCTGTCTGCCTGTCCGTCTGTCTGTTTGTCTGTCTGTCTTTCTCTCTCTCTCTCTCGCTCTCCTCCTCCGTCGTCGCCCTGCCCGGCGTGAGAAGCAGGACGAGCACGAGGACGAGGAGGGAACATAGAGGGGAGGAGCAGAAGACGGAGGAGGGGAAGGACGAGGGTACTGGGGAGGCAGAGAAACAGAAACATGATGAGGAGGGAGAGGAGGGAGGAGGGCAAGACTCGTGACCAATATGGAACCCTGGGTAGCGAAGATATGATCGGCACGCCACTGGGGCGGCTTCAATCGCATGGTGTGGATGACGCCCATATGTGGGTGCAATGGGACAACCCCCCGCCAGTCCAAAGCGCGACGCAACGGCCCAGTCGACCGCCCACGGAACCTGTACATTGTCGGCTTCATGGTAGTCTCTGTCACGCCCGTTTCGGCGGCGTCCTGCAGAGGGCTCGCACGATCGTCACTGCAGCTGCTGCCGTTGCCCGCGCCGCAGCCACAGAGGGACCTGACCAGCACGATGAACAAGGTGCAGAATCGGAACATCTGCGGTCAACTTGGCTCTGACGAGTCGAGCCCACATTAGAGAAACACCACGGCCCTTGCCGAATCTGGAAATCTGACCGTGCAAGAAGCGGAAGGTACTTGGATCACTACGAGAGTATGGAAGTAGCCAATTAGTTGCATTTTCCACCGATGGCATCAGCCACATCAATCGTGCTGGGCACGGAGCACACATAAACGCACTCACGCACACACACCCACACACACACACACACACACGCACACACACGCACACTCTCCTTGGCGCCGCTGCCACGCGCGCGGCGGCGCGGCGTAGGTCAAGTCAGGCGGGAGCACGCGGGCTGGGCCAGCTCACGCAGCGTGGGTAAGCTGGATACACCCAGAGGGGATGGACAGCAACACTCGCGAGGGGGCAGTCGCGAGGTGAGCGGGGCGAGGGGAAAAGGGAGGAAACGGAGGAAAACGAGGACATGGTGAAGCAGTGCGACAGTGATGAGCCGAAACATCAAGCGAGGCGCAGCAGGAGGGCGGCAACGGCAGCCGAACAGGAAGAAGAAACAAAGCACCGTGCGGAGACCGCGGCTATCCAGGGGGCACTGGCACACACACACACACACACACACACACACACGTACGTACGTACGTACATACGTACGCACGCACGCACGCACGGCGCACGCGCACGCGCACGCGCACGCGCACGCGCACGCGCACGCGCACGCGCACGCGCACGCGCACGCGCACGCGCACGCGCACGCACGCACGCACGCACGCACACGCACACGCACACGCACACGCACACGCACACGCACACGCACACGCACACGCACACGCACACGCACACGCACACGCACATGCACAGGCACAGGCACAGGCACAGGCACAGGCACACGCACACGCACACGCACACGCACACGCGCACACGCACACGCACACGCACACCACACACACACACACGCACGCACGCACGCACGCACGCACACGCACACGCACACGCAAACGCACACGCACACGCACACGCACAGCACACACACACACGAGCATGAACTCATAAGCACACACACGCACTCTTACAATTGTTCCTCAGACGCGCCGCTGGTAACGGGACATGTTTGCCACGAATTGACTTCCTTGTGAAGCGGCACAGTAAGTCTGCAATCAAGGAAACATCGCGCAGGTGCTACCAAGACTGCAAAATTGGCCGCCCCAAGTGCAGCAGAGCCAGCCGTGACGCAGGGTCACAGCGGCACTACCGAGGGGGGAGCAGGAGGAAGATGAGGAGCGGGGAGCCGCAGCCAGAACGGCGCCAGGCGTGCGACGGCCAGGGCGCGAGCCCGGCAGCAGCACGCACGCGGACACACGTACACATACACACAGACACGCTTACACTCAGAGCGTGCGTTACCTACCCCGCTTTCGCTTCCAGGCAAAGCCAAGTCATACCACGCGCCTCCGCGTCAAGCGGCCTGACCAGTACTGGCCGTAGTTTGGCATCGCTTGGTGTCTCTTGGAAGCGAGGGTGGTCAAAAGCGAGGTAGGTTTGTTTGCCCCCTATACACACACACACACACACACGCACTCAGATTTCCCTCCGGCGCGCCCGTGGCACAAGTTGGCGGAGATCGGGTCACCTGGGGCACGCACGGGCCGTACGCACGACACGATGTGGCAGAGCAACCGAGACGCGCACCAGTCACGCACACGCGTGGGCACACGCACACGCACACATGTGCGCACACCCACACACACACACCTCGCACACACACAGACACACACACACACACACACGCTCACACGGACGCACACACACACACACGCACGCACGCACATACACACACACACACACGTATACACACGTATACACACAAGTACACAATATACATACATATACACACACGTATACACATAACACACACACATACACACACGTATACACATAACACACACATACACACATATATATATATATACACGCATACACACACACACGTATACACTTAACATACACACACAAGTACACAACTTTGGCGTCGCGGCCCCGTGAGCAGCGGCAGGGCGTCCAAAGACACACGCACACACACACACATTCACTCTCTCTCACACACACACTCACACACATGCTCTGTCTCTTTCGCCAGCCAGGTGGCATCACAGTGGTGTGCACAAGAATGTGTTGCAGACGAACGTGCGAATCCCACCAAGTTTCGCAAGTGGAAGGATGCGTACAGCGAGCCGCGTGCAGAGGAAAACACCTAATCTGGTGGGCGGCCGAGGTAAACGCATGTAAAATGCAGAGAAGTTATACACTCACACATACACGTACACACAAACGCACACGACTTCCTCCAGCGGCAAAGAGGCGGCACCAGCGCGAGCACTAAGGCGCGACACTCGCAGTCTAACTCCGCCTGGCATTGCACACCGGTGGGCTGCGCAGTGCAAATCGACGTGCAGAAAACGAAACAACACTAGGCGAGCGGGTGTGCAGGAGACAATTCAAAGCACATGCAGGTCACACGCACACTCACACACTCGCATACACACACACTCGCATACACACACACACGCACACCACCCAACCTACACATACACACACGACTCAAAGTAAAAATGCGGTTGCGGCGAAACCGAGTGGTCGGCTGGGGAAGCGACGAGGGCGCATGGGGGCGGCCGAAGGCGCAAGAAGTCGACGAGGGCAGGGTGGTACTCTTCCCAAGGCGGCACTGTAGCAGACAATGCGACAAGAAAGCATGCTATAAGAAGCCCAGGGGTACAACTGTCGTCAATTCTGAGCTTCCTGAGGTGCCCCAAGGCCTCTTTGGGCCCCCAGGGCACTCGGGGGGTAAGAAGCTTCAATTGGGCGGCTGCTGGCAAGCCAGTTTCTTATTTTACGTGCCTACTGTCGGGTGATATTGGGGAGCTTGGGATGACGCAGGCGCGGACGAGCGTGAGGTTTTGGGCACACGTGACATGCCGATCCTTGAACTGATGCGTAACAGCTCCTCACTGTCTCCTGTATGATCTGTCGCCACAGTGGCGGAGTTGAATAGCTTGTGCCGTACGTACGTGAAACCTACGCATCCACAACATGGAACGGCACGGGGGCCATAGCGAACGACAACCGTCTGATGCCACCCGCCTCCCTCCACCTTCCTATTGACCTCTCCCTCCTGCTGCCTCTCCTGCTCCGCTTCCGGTCGGGAACTTCTGCTTCCCGTGACGCGGCGGTGGCTCCGACGACACGCCGTGCCCCGCGAGCCGATAGCGTGTCGCTCCGTTCCCGCGGGAGGCCTGGGTTCTCGCGAATTTCTTTCGAAGGTTCGGACTCTTGCGAACTTTCTTCAGGAGGCCATGATTCTCGCAAAGTCTGCGCGGGGGGCCCGTGCTTCTGCAGTCTTCCCGCGCGAGGCTCGGAACCCTGAGGAGGAGGAGGAGGAGGAGGAGGAGGAGGAGGAGGAGAGAGGAGGAGGAGGGGAGGAGGGAGGAGCGGAGTAGGAGGAGGGGAGAGGAGGAGGAGGGAGGGAAGGAGGAGGAGGAGGAGGAGGAAGGAGGAGAGAGAGAAGGAGGAGGAGGAGAGGATGAGGAGGAGGAGGAGGAGGAGGAGGAGGAGGAGGATGGAGGAGGAGAGAGGAGGAGGAGGAGGAGGAGGAGGAGGAGGAGGAGGAGGAGAGGAGGAGGGGGGAGGAGAGGAGAGGAGAGGAGGAGGAGGGGAGGAGGAGGAGAGGAGGAAGAGGAGGAGGAGGAGGAGGAGGAGGAGGAGGAGGAGACCGCGGGGCGGGAGGCCGGGGGGGGAGTTCGGGGCGCCGGTGCTTATGGCAGGCCCCGGCCGCGGGAGAGGGCGGTGCGCCCCGCAGAGGCGCCCACGGGCTCAGTGTTATGTTAATAAGGGGGGATCTTCGACGAGAAATAATACCCCAAAAATGCCCCAAAAGGGTCAAACAAATATTGAAAAAACAGTCCCCAAACTATTTTTGGATTAGTGTTTTAGCACTTTTGGTGTATTTTTTTTTATTTTTCGTCGAAAATCCCCCTGTAAGGGGGACACGCCCGAGTTAAGCTCAGTGTTTCGATGGGGCTCCGTCCGCTGGCTGAGCGGGCGTCGCGTCGCTGGCCATCGCTCGGACGTCCATTCCCTGTCCTTTTTTCGGTCTCGTGCGTGGCTCTTTCGCCAAATGATCAGGGATGCTCCTCGATGCCGGCGCGTCGCGTCCAGAACAATGGTGTCGCGCTCGCGGCAGAGATGTCACTGCACCGACCTTGCAGACTTGCTGCGGTTTTTTTTTTTGCGCGGATTCCTGCCAATGCAAAACCCCGAACCGGCGAGTGAAAAACGAGGTGGATTTCGCGTGGATGTTTTGTTTGTCTTCATTCCTGGCCAAAAATCCGCACGAAATTCGCTGCGAAATCCGGAACGAAATTATCCAGGAAACTCCAGGTTCATCCTGATGTTTTCCGAACGAAATCCGCTCTGCGATGTTGGCGCCATGAGAAATGAGGGTGGTACACGCGTGCACCATCCGCAAGCATATTCCAAGCGGAACCGAGCCGAGGAAACGACCTCTTGCTTTACCCCTCGCACCGAAGATGGTTTCCCGCCGACCGCAGCGGGTTAGGCTCCGGCGAACTGCGCCAGCGCCGCGGGACTGGCAAGCTGAGCCTGGGGCGGCCAAAAAAATCTTCCGGATGGCTTGGTCCTAACCGCCCTGGAGATCCGACGGCGCGCACAAGTTACAATCTGGCATAACACCGCGCGACGACACAGAACTGACGACTGACACTGATCGGCGGTGGACAAACCTCCCTTTAGAAACCTCCCCCTAATGAAAACGGCCTGGGACCGAAACCGACGGACCTGGACCCGCAAAAATGACGGCCGCGACGTCCTCTCGCGAACCGACAACGGCCAATTCCTTAATCGACGTGTCAGGGTAGGAGGCCCATCCACTTCTGAACTGACACAGAGCTGACCTTGGTCCGACCTCCCTGCAGTGCATGCGGGGGTGGGGCGGCGAGGCACGTCGAGCACCTGTGAGCACCGAACACCCACGAGCACCGGGCGACCCGCCTCGCGGGTCGCGCGCCCGGCGCCTACTTCGGTGACCACGGAATCGGAATCGCCCACGATGCTACCACTGTGGTGCCCACAGTCGCTTCGGGCCAAGAGTATCAAGGAAACACAAAAGCCCCGGAGGGCGCTGAAACGACGTCGAAAACACATTCTCCGGGGGTGGGGGGGCGCAGGCTTGGCACCTGGCACCTCCAACGATGGGGGCGGAGAAAGTGTAATACTCTTTTCTTCGTCGTTGTCCTCCTCCTCCTCCTCCTTCTCCCCCTCCTCCTTCTCCTCCTCCTCCTCCTCTTCCTCCTCCCCCCTCCTCCCCCCTCCTCCTCTCGCCTCCTCCTCTCCCTCCTCCTCATTCTCCCCTCCCTCCTGAACATAGGCTCCGTGGCCTTACTTGCCCTGTCCTCCCCCTCCTCCTCAGTTTTCTTTGTCGATGTTTCCTAGTAGCATTATTACCAGTATTCTCAGTATTCGTATGATTGTCATGTTTCTTCTTCTTCTTCTTCTCATTATTATTAATGATCACAGACATAAGATATTCAAATTAGTGATACTACTATTCGTATTGGTCTCCCCTTCCTCCAACTCCTCCTCCTCCTCCTCCTCCTCCTCCTTCTCCTCCCCCTCCTCCTGCTTCCTCTTTCGTTCAGAATCGCTCCGACTTCTATGGTGCCTGGCCTCCTCTTCCTCCTGCTCATCCTCTTCCTCCTCCTCCTCCTCGACCTCCTTCTCCTCCTCCTCCTTCTACTCCTCCTCCTCCTCCTCCTCCTCCTCCTCCTCCTCCACGGGAGCGCCCTCCCTGCTCCTCCTCGTCCTCTTCCTCCTCCTCCTCCTCCTCCTCCTCCTCCTCCTCATGTTCCTCCTCCTCCTTCTCCACCTCTTGCACTTCCGCCAGGGCGCCCTCCCTTCTCTGTTTCTCCCACTCCTTGTCGTTGGGCAACAGGCGGCGCAAGGCGTTGATCCAAGAGGACTTGCCGACGCCAGAGGCGCCCGTGACAGCAATCCTGAGGGGTCGGGGGGCTAGGAGCCCTTCGTAACTTTTCTCAGAGCGTGCGCGAGAGGTGCAGGAGTGCGAGGACAAGGAAGGACGAGGAGGAGGAGCAGGAATATCGGGAGGGTGATGCGGAAGAGCAGGTGGCAGGATGGGAGGGTGAGGAGGACGAGGAGAAGGGGGGGACAGAGGACAGAGGGAACGAGGGAGGAAGGTTGAGGGGGGGGGGCGGAGGAGGCGGAGGAGGGCGGATGAGAAGGATGGGGAGCGGGCAGGGAGGACAAGCCTGGGAGCAGCGGGCTCCCTGCAGCAGACACGGCGGGGCCAGGTGCGCGACAAGGCCCCCCTGGCAACACACAGCCTGCGAGAGGTGCAAGGGCACCGTACTCCAGATTTCGTAATGTTAGAGCCCACTGTTCCTACTGCAGTAGGTTAGACTGTGTTGCCATGCGTTGCGTTTCGATGCGTGCTGTTGCGATTGAGTGGGTGTCCCTTGAATTGCACTTGCATCGCAAGGCGCTTCACTGGCTTCCCTGTCGGAAACTGGGGGACGATACCGAAGTGAACACGCAGTCGCCCAACAGGAAAACTCGATACTCCAGATTTCGTAATAAAAGGGAGGGGGTCTGGACCCTCCAAGACAAGCCATTTCAGACCCCCCCCCCGTGGGAGAACCCTCGAAAACATCGTCCCCAGACCCCCCCCAGGCCCTCCAAGATACCCTGGAAGAGACCCCCCCCGAAATGAGACCCCCCTCCCTTTATTACGAAATCTGGAATACAGTTCCGAGTTCTGATGTGTTATAATTGTTTTTTGCTGTTCTTAGTTTTTGGTAGTTGTGAAACAACAATCACTTCTGAATAACACTCGTGGTTGAGCCCCGCCCCACTGGTGAGCATTGTGCTTTCAATCGAATGCTTCCTTCGGCTCCCGCACCACTGGTTTTTTCCTAGCGAGCTCTTGGTGCTAATACTGTGCCCCTGACCCCCTGGCCACAACCACACCGGCTCCCGCTGGAGACACCCTCGCAAATTAGAAAACCGGACTCGCGCTCTCGCTTTAGACATCCTCACAAATTGCTCAATCCTCGAACCTCGAATCCCAAACTGTTCCTCCCT